GTTGTATGAAAATTTTTGTTGCTCCGTATAAAAATTTTAATCAACCCCCTGCCCCCCCCCCCGGTAAAAGGGGTCCCTCTTTACCAATCTGAAAATCTGGTCACCTTATACATGACGTGCGTGGAAGCCCCAAAAAGCTCAAATACCAGTAAGGCGCGCGGGCGGGCAGCTGGGCCCTCCAGAGCACCATACTGGAACGGTGGAACTGGGTGGAACTGAAGCAATTACATGTGGCCTGAAAGATGCCCTCTGCAGGTGCTCTTGCATTTCTTGTATTTGTCAAGTATTTGTATATGATCCTACATGAACATATCAACAGGTGTACACACATACACATAGTAACAACATAATTGCTGTGTTGACTATTTATTATACTTTGGTTGGAAACATGCAGAAGAGGCCTTCATCCTGCAGTGGATAGGCAATAGCTAAGATGATGGTGATGGTGATGATGATGATGATGATACAAGTACTTGAGGTAGAGCAATCACTAGTCAAAAATTTCTGCACTCTGTCCATCAAAGCAACTGCTATGGAAGATATCATTGGGCAACACAACAAATATGTTTGTGAGAGCAACTCCTCAAGGAAGCAAATTAAGAAGAGCAGCAACTGATGGTATATTTATCATGCTGTAACACACAACCAGAGATTTCAATTAACAGTTTTAATTAAAATGCTGTATATCTACAGTACTGTGCATATAACAAAGACTCTTGTTACTAATGCAGTTGCAACTTTTTATCATGAAAGATTGGAAAAGCAACATGATTTTATATTTCTGTTCTGGTTTCCAACAAAAAAAATTAAGTTGATAGCTATAAAAATTCCCTACTTTAAATTCTGTGAGTGAAAATAAAAATATTAACTTTTGTGCAGGTAAAACTTTTTACATACTGTGCAGAGAAATATGGAAGGCCCTTGGCAAATACAAGAAGTAAAAGTTTGGATTAAATACTGGTAAAGCAAAAGGAGGAAAAAAACACTCTTTTTTTGCAGGTGGGTTACCATGCCCAAAAACTTTTAAACTTGAATGGGATGTACCACCAAGTGTCCAATTTGTAGTGTAACCAGTTTCTAACTGACAACTCTAGAGAACACTTTTATTATCCAAAATTGCAAACGTTTAAATATTTATGCTGCCAGGGTTGCACAATTTAAATATTTAAATAATTTTGTGGTTTTTGTTACCAGAAATATGAGCAATATAGCAATAGCAATAGCAGTAGACTTATATACCGCTTCATAGGCCTTCCAGGCCTCTCTAAGCGGTTTACAGAGAGTCAGCATATTGCC